AAAAAAAAAAAAAAAAAAGAAATGCAGAATCTCAGGCCAGATGAGGTTGCTCGTGACTATAATCGCCTGAAACCCTACCATTCTGGGAAGCCGAAGTGGGAGTATTCCTTGAGCTCAGGAGTTTGAGACTAGCCTGAGCAAGAGCTCTATTAAAAATAGAAAAAATTAGCTGTAGTCCCAGCTAGTCAGGAGCCCGAGGCAGGAGGATCAGCTGAGACCAGGAATGGGAAGCTGTAGTGAGCTACAATGAGGCCACTGCTCGCATGCTGTTGGAAAGCTTAACTCTAGCTTAGGTGACAGAATGAGACTCTGTCTAAAAAAAAAAAAAAAAAGCATAATCTCAGGCTCTGTTGCAGACCCACAGAACCATAATCACATTTTAACCAGATCCCCAGGTGAGTGCTGTGTACTCACCACTTGGGAAGCTTTGGTCTGGAATATTCCTTCTTTTCCTGGTTACCTCTTTCTTTTAATCCTTAAAGGTTTCAGATCAAAGACTGCTTTTCCCCCAATTTTTTCCCTTAAAAGCTGCCACTGGTCCCTCCACTCTCCCAGTGGTTCTGATCTTAAGCTATAACAGGACATTTGTCCAGAGGGGTGAGGGGAATCTTACAGGATTAATGTCTGTGCTTGCTCTATCTGCTCCCAGGGATAGGATCCATATTTGTCTTCAACAATGGGCCTAGGGCCTAGCACATTATTTACATTGCCCAGCTGGTAAATAATGCCATTCAAGAGTCTTTCATAAAGAAAAAAAAGAGGCTCGGCAACTGTGGCTCAAGTGGCTAAGGCGCCAGCCACATACACCTAAGGTGTCAGGTTCGAATCCAGCCCAGGCCCGCCAAACAACAACGGCGGCTACAACCAAAAAATAGCTGGGCTTTGTGGCGGGCTCCTGTGGTCCCAGCTACTTGGGAGGCGGAGGCAGGAGACTCGCTTGAGCCCAGGAGGTTGCTGTGAGCTGTGATGCCACAGAACTCTACCCAGGGTGACAGCTTGAGGCTCTGTCTCAAAAAAAAAAGGAAAGAAAAAAAGAAAAATAGGCCAAGTGCAATGGCTCACATCTATAACTTTAGCACTCTGGGATGCTGAGGTGGGAGGATCCTTTGAGCTCAGGAGTTCAAAGCCTGACCAAGAATGAGACCTCATCTCTACTAAAAAAAAAAATAGAAAAAGTTAGCCCAAAGTTGTGGTGGGCACCTGTAGTCCCAGTTATTTGGGACGCTGAGGCAGGAGGATCACTTGAATCCAGGAGTATGACGTTGCTGTGAGCTAGGCTGATGCCAGGGCACTCTAACCCTGGCAACAGAGTGAGACTGTCTCAAAAAGAAAGAGCGAGAGAAATAGATGGATGGATGATTGGGAGGATGGATGGGTGACTAGGTGGTGGATGGATGGGTGATTGGGTGGTGAATGGTTGGGTAACTAGGTGGTGGATTGGGAGGGTGACTAAGTGGTGGATGGGTAGGTAGGAGGAGGTTTATGTTGGATCTTTTGTTTTTAGAGGGATGTTGGTAAATTAGGGTACGGCCATAAAAAGGGAGTTGGCAAAAGCAAACGTCTTCCCAGATTCCAAAGAAGGAAAAATAATTGCCAAGAATGTGTTAAAGTATCAAGATTACCTTAAATCCCACTATGGCTGTGAATTATAAAGGAGGAGGTCCAGGTTCTCATTGCAATTCAAAAGGAAAATCTATGCCATCTGGTGGACAGAGGGAGTGAGTGCGCCCAACCCCTGGCTCCACATGGAGCTATCCCTAAACCAAGCCAGTGGAGGTGCCTGGTGGACTGTGGGGAGAGTGTAGCTGGGGTGGGAGGATGCGGGTGTGACTTTGACTTGCCATTCTCTTTGAAGCAACTGGTGGGGGATCCTGAGGGAACATTTCTGCCCCATAGAGAGAAGACTCTTCAAATCAGAAGAACTGTCCAGGGGAACCCAGGGCAGGAGTTAGCTCTCCCAGAGACTAGAGGTCAGCAGACAGAAGATCCAGGTTTGAATGGTGCAAGTGCTGTGTGACCTTGGGCCAGGCCCTTCCCCTCTCTGATCCTTTTCTCTTATCCAAGGGGCTGGGATTTCTCATTTTAGCCCCAGAGGAATCCCTAGGAGTTGATGAGGGGGCTTCCTGAAGGGGGTCTCTGCTCACCCTGGGGAGGTTTCCAGCCCGACCAGCCTCTGAAGAAGTCCTAAGGGATTGTCCTGCTGGGAGGGGCTGGAAGAAGACCTACTTGCCGCTGGCGTAGGCGTAGGCCCCCGGCCAGAGGTTGGAGCGCACGATGGCCACAGAATATTGTGGACAGAGAGGGCAGGACAGGCGGGCGGTCCAGGCTGACATGTGCAGGATTTCTGCAGGGGGAGGGTGGGTGAGAGAGGCAGCAAGGTCAGAGGGTTCCCGTGCCCTGGAGGGACCAAAGGGAGGAAGGTAGAGAGCAAAGAGAGAGGCCTGGGGGCTCATGAAGAGAACTTCAACAACTAATAACATAGGCTTCAGTGTTCAAACCCTAGCTCCAGACCATTCTCTCCCTGTGTGGCCTCAAAAGGTATGTGGCCTGTCTGAGCCTCACTGCCTGCAACCAGTACATGGGCATATTCATGTCATCTCCATTGCAGGGTGGAATCCTGGTACAATGTCTGCAGCACACCTGCTATCGTGCCTGGTATTCAGCAGGAGCCTCCAAGATAGGGAAGCTGTTGAGATACCTAGGCTGGCCACTAGTTGGGACCAGGGTGCAAAGGGCAGGGCATGGGCTCTGGGCTTACAGAATCTGGCTCCAAATCCAGGCTCTGTCCACTCACTCCCAACCTCTCCTTCCTCTCCCCTGTAAGAACCAGAGGCCCCCACCTCAGGAAATTCCTGTCCATTCAATCCATTCAGGGAGGGCTCCCTAACTATATCTCCCTCCCCCCTAGACCACATGTGACTCAAAAGGCCATATCCTAGGATCTGGGCCATTGCTGTGTGCCAGACACATTCACAATGTGGTCATGTTCTCCTCACCCCAGAAGGGAGTCACTGCTGATGCCCATATTACAGATGAGAGAGCAACTGAGACTTGCAGAGATGGCTTGCCTCTCTGTTCTTGCCCTCCCTCCCCCCAGGCTACAGGTGTGCAAGATGAGGAGGACCCTTACCTGCATCTTCTGAGAGCGGTGTCAGCAGTGGGGGCCCGACCTCCTGCTCCACTTCCTCCAACCCCTCATCTGCCTTCTCTTCCTCCTCCCCTAGCTCCTCTTCCTCCTCTGTCTTTTGCAAAGGGTTTACCCAAGTGCAGCGACCCTGAGGGTGGGAGGGAAGGTTAAGTGGCACCCAGAGGGACAGAACCAGCCAGCACCCTGGGAGGAGAAGGGCCAGGCAGGACCCTGGAGCCCTGGCCTTGTCCCCATCCCCAGGGATCCAGGCATGGGCAGGAAAACAGGATTAGTCGCACAGGTAAGGGGCAAGAGCTATTGCAGTGAGGTGGAGATCCCTACCTCCTGCTGATTGTGTTCTTACATTCATCAACTCATTGTTTCATTCATCACATATTTAATGAGCACCTACCAAATGCAGGCACTGCCCTAGATGTTGGGGCTATATCTTAGAGAATAGAGATCCCCTAAATTCCTACTCTTGTGCAGCTAGTATTGGGCAGCCCATATGATCCTCTCTTCATCTGTGAAATGGGGGTGTCAAGGATGTCTCTCTCACTGGATTGTTTTTGGGTTACCTGAGATAATCAGGAGCCAATGTTTGTTGAGCCAATGAGCCTAAGTGCACAGCATACAGCAAACCTCCATTTTGCCAACCATGAAATGGTTGTACTGATCTCAAAAGGAGTTATTTGCATTCAATAAAACACTGTAGAGTCAATAACTGTTTAATGAGTGAGTGGGAAGTTACAAACATACAGTAGGTTCTTCTTTGAGTTAATATGACTAAAAATGTTTGACTGAGGCCACACTAAGCACTTAAATACAGGTCCAGGAGGCACCTGTAGCTCAATGTAGGGCACCAACCACATACACCCAGACTGGCGGGTTTGAACCCAGCCCAGTCCAGCTAAACAACAATGACAACTGCAACGAAAAAATAGCCGGGCGTTGTGGCGGGCACCTGTAGTCCCAGCTGCATGGGAGACTGAGGTAAGAGAATCACTTACTCCCTGGAGTTTCAGGTTGCTGTGAGCTGTGATGCCATGGAACTCTGCCGAGGGTGACATAGTGAAACTGTGTCTCAAAAAGAAAAAAAAAAATGCAGGTCCAGGCCAGGCTCAGTGGCTCACACCTGTAATCTTCTGAAAAACTCTAGAAGGCCAAGGCAAGAAGATCGCTTGAGCCTAGGAGTTTGAGGTTGCTGTGGCTATGATGCCAAGGCACTCTACCCAGGGCAACAAAGTGAGCCTCTGTCTCAAAAAAACATATATATATACGCTGGGTGTGGTGGCTCATGCCTATAATCCCAGCACTTGGGAGGCTGAGGTGGGTGGATGCCTGAACTCACAGGTTCAAGACCAGCATGAGCTGGAGTGAGACCCCATCTCAAAAAAATAGCCAGGTGTATGGCAGGTGCCTGTAGTCCCAGCTACTTGGGAGGCTGAAGCAAGAGGATCACTTGAACCCAAGAATTTGAGGTTCCTGTGAGCTATGATGCCACAGCCCTCTACCAAGGCTGAACAAATGAGACTCTGTTTCAAAAACTATATATATAAAATAAAATAAACAAATGCAGGTGCATAATATCTTGTTCAGTACTTTGAAATTTGAAAAAACTTTGAAAATCTAAAGATTTAGACCAGGCACGATGGCTCACATCTACCGAGATGGGTGGATTGATTGAGCTAAAGAGTTCGAGACCAGCCTGAGCAACAGCAAGACCCCATCTCTAAAAAAGTAAAAAATAGCCAGATACTGTGGCAGGCGCCTGTAGTCCCACCTATTTGGGAGGCTGAGGCAAGAAGATCACTTGAGTCCAAGAGTTTGAGGTTGCTGTGAGCTACCACACAGTAGCACTCTACCCAGGGTGGCACAATGAGACTCTTGTCTCTTTGTGTTTGTCTGTTTGAGACTGTGTCTCACTCTGTTGCCCTGCGTAGAGTGCCAAGGCTCATAGCTCATAGCAACCTCAAACTCTTGAGCTCAAAGTCTCCTCCTGCCTCAGCCTCCCAAGTAGCTGGGATTACAGGCACCTGCCACAATATCTGGCTTTTTTTTTTTTTTTTTTTTTTTAGAAATGGGGTCTTGCTGTTGCTCAGGCTGGTCTCGAACTCCTTAGCGCAGGCGATCCACCTGCCTCAGCCTTCCAGAGGTGTGAACCACCATACCCTACTGAAAACCCCAAGTTTTGTCTTAAGTCATTTGGCAGCAACTCTGCCCTGCTGATGAGAGGTTACTCTTGCTGCAGAGATAATTGATATGGGGCTGCAGCCGCTGCCTTTGCTAGGTCTGTTGAGTACTATCTTGGATGTCCACCACCAAGCCACCTTTTCAAAATCTGAAAAATTCTGAGCTCCAAAATGCAACTGACCCCAAAGGTTTCTGAGAGGTTTATCCAGCAGTATCTGCTGAATGAAAGAAGGAAATGGCCAGCTGGGTGGGCAAATGAGATTATTTAGCTCATGCCTACCAGAGAGTAAGAGCTTGATAGCACTGTCGGTGGGTCCCACCGGTCCTCACCTGCGGCAGGATGTGCTGAGTGTGGTGCACCCAGTTGGCCATGGAGTCGACCAGTTCCAGCACCGGGATGCCCTCAAAGTCGGGGTTCTCCTCATAGGAGTCGCGCCCAGCGCCGCCCTCCTCCTCCTCATCACCTTCCTCCTCTCCAAACTGGTAGAAGCCCAGCGGGCTAATCTGTGTGGCGGCCGAGATGCGGGCGATCTGGGCACGCAGGTAGTTGGCCTCGTTGCCAGGGAAGGGCGGGTAGCTGATGACTGGCGCGTCCAGGTAGCCGGTGAGAAACTTCCTGATCTTCCGGGCGTTCACGATCTGGGCCGGCGTGACGTGGGGCAGCCGCGTCCATGGCCGGCCAGGCTCGTTGCAGACGAAGTACAGGTACTTGTTGGTGCCTGTGCGGCTGTCCTCCTTGGGAATGACGGGCGGCGGCTTCCACGTGGGCTTGGGGACAGCGTCGGCGATCTTCTCTTCGTCCTCCTCGCCCTCCTCCTCCAAGTGCCCCTCCATGGCCTCGCCGCCCTCGATCAGCTCCTCTGCCTCCTCCTCCTCTCCCTCCTCCTCGCCCTCCCGGAATTCCACCTCAGCCACCAGGTAGTTGCGGCGGAGCCCCAGAATCTTGCCCCAGAAGCGGCACGTGTGGATGGGCTGCTGCTCCACCAGCTGCTTCAGAGCCAGGAAGACGCGGAAGCTCTCGTCTGAGCTCAGCCCCACGCCGGCCTGCCCAAAGTGGAAGGCTGCCTCCATGATGTTGGGCACCGCGGTGTCTGTCTGCCGGGGTGGGATGGGGGGCAGAGGAAAGAAGGCTGAAGCCCTGCTCCCTAGCCTGGCCCCTAGACTGTTCTAGAGTAAAGAGATCTGAAACATTCTGAAACTCAGTTCTAGCCAGTGAGATGGAGGGGAACTCCTTGGGTACAACATGCCTTGATGGAAAACAAAAGGCAAAACCACACAAGGAGACAATTTTTAGTTCTTCATTCTTCCCACTTCATCCTGCCTGGAATGGGAATGTGAGATCTCAAGCCACAGCAGCTGTCTTGGGGCCATGAGGCAACACACAGAGACAAAGTCCGACACCCTGATAGTAGGGGCGCTGACAGGTGAACACTGCTTAACAGCTTAGTCCCCAGGGCATCTCTGAATTGCCTTACCTACTGAAGTCTCCTTGTTCAAGAAAGAACTGAAGTCTCCTTTGATAAAGAAAGGACTGTGGGTCATGTTTTCTATGACTTTCAGACAAATGCACTCCTAACACATACGCCATGTCTCACAGCAAATTAAGAGCAGAGACAGGTCGTGAACTGAAGGATCAGTGATGTTGGAGGATGGTACTAAATCCTCACTGCACCCACCTCTACCATCTGCTTGGTTCACACAGCTAGGGAACCGGAAGAGGGAGCCAGAGGAGGAAGTGAGATGTTCACCTGCACAGGCCACAAACCAATGTGCTTCCCTTTCTCTCAGGGAAATAAATGCCTTTCACCCATATCCACATGGTCACAGCAATTTTTCATTTTATGAGTCCAGAAATCATTATTAAAGACTCAGTGGGTGTCGGCCTGGGCTAGGCCCTGAGCTGTGTTAGAGAATAAAACAAGAGATCCCACCTTGTGAGATCAGCATGAACTACACCAAACCAGAGACCGTATGCTCTCTTGCCAGAATTTGAAATCAGGATGGAGAGAGAGGGACTGAGAAGGCAGTATAAAGGTCCTCAATGATGTCCCTGCCCTAATGCTCAGAACCTATGATTATGTGACCTCACATGGCAAAGGGACATTACAGGTGTGATTAAGTTGAAGATCTTGAGATGTGGAGATGATTATCCAGACAGGCTCCATGGAATCACAAGGGTTCTGATAAGTAAAAGAGGGAGATGACAGGCTCAGCACCTGTAGCTCAGTACTTAGGGCGCTGGTGGATTTGAACCTGGCCCAGGCCTGCTAAAAACAACAATGACAACAACAACAAAAAGTAGTCAGGCATTGGTGGGCACCTGTAGTCCCAGCTACTTGGGAGGCTGAAGCAAGAGAATCACTTAAGCTCAGGAGTTTGAGGTTGCTGTGAGGCACTCTACTGAGGGGAGGGTGACATAGTGAGACTCTGCCTCAAAAAAAAAAAAAAAGAGTGAGACAACAGAGTCAGAGAAGATGTGATGATGGAAACAGGAGACAGATCCAGAGAGGTTGGAAGATGCTGAGCTGCTGGCTGTCAAGGTAGAGGAAAGAATGCAGATGACATTTAGAAGCTGGAAGAGGCAAGGAATCAGATTCTCTCCCTAGAGCCCCCAGAAGGAACACAGCCCTGTCCACACCGTGATTTAGCCCAGCAAGAAGTATTTGGAGCTTCTGACCTCCAGAGCAGTGAGATAATGTATTTGTGTTGTTTTAAGCCACTACATGTGTGGTAACTTGTTATAGCAGAAATAGGAAATGAATACAGGACCAGTTCTATGTATGGATGGAAGTAAAACGTGTAAATTGGGAAACATATACTCTCCATATACCAGGTATGTGGAGAGATAGCAGAGGCTCATGCTGGTAATCTAGCACGCCAGGAAACTGAGGGAGGAGGAAGTGGGAGGATCACTTGAGATCAGGAGTTCAAGACTAGCCTGAGCAAGAGTGAGACCTGTCTCTACTAAGAATAGAAAAACTAGTGTGAAAACCCCACACTGTACCCCAGAAGTGCATTAATGTACATAGTTACCATTCAATAAAAAAAAAAAAAGAAGTCTGCCCCTCCTAACCTAAAAAAAAAAAAAAGAATAGAAAAACTAGTTGGATATGGTGGTGGACACCTGTAATCCCAGCTACTCAGGAGGCTGAGGCAGGAGGATCACTTGAGCCCAGGAGTTTGAGGTTGCAGCAAGTTATGATGATACCATGGCACTCTAGCTGGGGTCTCAAAGAAAAAAAAGAAAGTGTTGGCAGACCTGGTTCCCTCTAAGGGCTATCAGGAAGAATCTCTCCTACGCCTCTCTCCTGGCTTTGATGGATCACTGGCAATCATTGGTATCCCTTGGTTTGTAGAAACATCAACCTAATCTCTGCCTTCACCTTCACATGACACTCTTCTTCTTCTTTTTTTTAGAGACAGAGTTTCACTCTGTCATCCTCAGTAGAGTGCTGTGGCATCACAGCTCACAGCAACTTCTAGCTCTTGGGCTTAGGCAATTCTCTTGCCTCAGCCTCTCGAGTAGCTAGGACTACAGGTGCCTGCTCCACTCACTGAGCCACAGGCGTCACTCCCCCCACCCCCTTTTTTGAGACAGAGTCTCACTATGTTGCCCTCGGTAGAGTGCCATGGCATCATAGCTCACAGCAACCTCAAACTCCTGGGCTCAAGGGATTCTCTGCCTCAGCCTCTCTAGTAACTGGGACTACAGGCATCCACCACAATGCCCAACTATTTTTAGAAACGGGTTCTCGATCTGGCTCAGGCCGGTTTTACTCCTGAGCTCAAACAATCTGCCTACCTTGGCCTCCCAAAGTGCTGGGATTACTGCCATGAGCCACTGGGCTTGGCCATTCAGGCTGGTCTTGAACTCCTGGTTTCAAGTGATCCTCCCACCTTGGCCTCCCAAACTGTTGGGAATGTGAGTGCAAGCCACCATGCCTGGCCCAAATTTTCCCGTTTTATTTTTTATTTATGTATTTTGTTTTTTGAGGCAGAGTCTAACTGTGTTGCCCTGGGTAGAATGCGATGGCATCACAGCTCACAGCAACCTCAAACTCTTTGGGCTTAAGTGATTCTCTTGCCTCAGCCTCTCAAGTAGCTGGGACTGCAGGCGCCCACCACAACACCCAGCTATTTTTTGGTTGGAGTTGCCATTACTGTTTAGCAGGCCTGGGCCAGGCTTGAACCCGCCAGTCACGGTGTATGTGGCTGGAACCCTACTCACTGAGCTATAGGTACCAAGCCTCCCAAACCCCTTTTTCACTGCCTGTCTGCTATGGTGGAAGCTTAGCAGCCACTTTCCCAGTCTCCCTTGTACCTAGGAAAGGCCATGTGACCCAATTTTGGCCAATAAATGCAAGCAGAAGTTTTTTAAGGAGCTCCAGGGAAATTTTTGCTCCCTTGATTTAATAAAAAGATGCAGAACATATAAGAAAATGTTCCCTCCTCCCATTTGAAGCACTGGTGTGTGAATATGATGTCTGGAGCTGCAGCAGTCATTTTTTTTTTTTTTTTTTTTTGAGACAGAGCCTCAAGCTGTCCCCCTGGGTAGAGTACCGTGGCATTACAGCTCACAGCAACCTCCAACTCCTGGGCTCAAGCGAGTCTCCTGCCTCCGCCTCCCAAGTAGCTGGGACCACAGGTGCCCGCCACAACGCCCGGCTATTTTTTGGTTGCAGCCGTCATTGTTGTTTGGCGGGTCCGGGCTGGGGATTCGAACCCACCACCTTAGGTGTACGTGGCTGGCGCCTTAGCCGGTTGAGCTATAGGCACCCAGCCAGTCATTTTTTTTTAACATAAAGTGGCAACTCAGTCCCAAACATCTGCATGATGAAGAAGGCAGAGCAGGGGGAGGAAAGAAGGGATTTGTGAAGGCCTTAGAGATTCCACACCGACTGTACCTGTCACCAGATTTATGGGTGAAGTGAGATAATTACATGTTTTGCTGAAGTATTTGGGCTGCCTTAGTCAAGCACTTACAGCCAGAAGCAAGCCTTGCTGACTGCGCTGGACAGAGAGGAGATTTCTACCCAGCCTACTTTGATGCTGAAAACTGCTCTCTGCATTTAGATACAGGGAGGGAGATTGGGAGTGAGGGGAGAAGATGGCTCTCAGTGCTCCTTCATTGGGGAGCCACCTTGCCAGTCCTTTTTTTTTTTTTTTTTTTGAGACAGAGCCTCAAGCTGTCCCCCTGGGTAGAGTGCTGTGGCATCACAGCTCACAGCAACTTCCACCTCCTGGGCTTGAGCGAGTCTCCTGCCTCAGCCTCCCAAGTAGCTGGGACCACAGGCACCTGCCACAACGCGCAGCTATTTTTTGGTTCCAGCCATCATTGTTGGTTTTTGGCAGGCCTGGGCTGGATTCAAACCCACCACCTTAGGTGTATGTGGCTGGCGCCTTAGCCACTTGAGCCACAGGTGACGAGCCACCTTGCCAGTCCTAAATGTGACTATTATGTGTGGGGAAAAGTCTATTTTGTCTAAGTCACTTGTTTACATTTTGCTCATATCTTTTTTTTTTTTTTTTGAGATGTCCCACTATGTTGCCCTGGGTAGAGTACTGTGGCTGTCACAGCTCACAGCAATCTCACTTCTTGGATTAAGTGATTCTTTTGCCTCAGCCTCCCAGGGAGCTGGGACTACAGGCACCCACCACAACGCCTAGCTATTTTTTGGTTGTAGGTGTCATTGTTGTTTGGCAGGCCCAGGCTGCATTTGAACCCGCTAACTTTGGTGTATGTGGCTGGTGCCCTAGCCACTGAGCCACAGGTGCCAAGCCCATCATCTGTTTTTTTTAACTTAAAGTGACTTACATTGTCAAAGAAATACAGTAAAATGTTAGTGTTTGGAATGTGTTAAAATAATACTAAAGTTAATCTAAAATTATAAATATGAAAATAGGAAATTTTCAAAGCAGATGTGCAGCGATGGGTAGATTATGCTACCAAAATTGCAGCACCCACTATGCTGCTGCAGTAAATGGTGGACAGGAGAGTCCTGGAGCTGGAACCACCCAAAGAGCAAAGTCACAGAATCCAGAAACGCACCCAAACCCCATGAGCATGGTATTTCAAGGAGAGACAAGAGATTATTCCGTAAGTGCTGCTGGGGACCGTGGCTAGTCATTTGGAAGAAGTAGAAATGAAAGCCTTGCCTCACACTTGCCAGAAAAAATAAACATAAAATGCCGAATTACGCATTTTTTATGAGTTGCTTCCTAAAAGCATGCACAGATCACGAATAAGAATTTTGTTCTTGGCTCGGCGCCTATAGCTCAACTGGCTAAGGCGCCAGCCACGTACACCTAAGGTGGCGGGTTCGAATCCCCAGCCTGGACCCGCCAAACAACAATGACGGCTGCAACCAAAAAATAGCCGGGCGTTGTGGCGGGCGCCTGTGGTCCCAGCTACTTGGGAGGCGGAGGCAAGAGACTCGCTTGAGCCCAGGAGTTGGAGGTTGCTGTGAGCTGTAATGCCACGGCACTCTGCCCAGGGGGGCAGCTTGAGGCTCTGTCTCAAAAAAAAAAAAAAAAAGAATTTTGTTCTTATCCAGACCCTAGGCTAAGAACCCCAGCTCCAAGTTCTAATAGGGTCAGCCTCCAGACCCTGGGGGCCCTGAGAAGGTAGAGCTTCCCAAGGCATCAAATTTCAACGGGGTGGGGCTTTATCCGGATGGCGTTCTAAAGAGGCAAGGCCGTATTTCCAAGGAGAATGAGATGTTTCAAGGAGATAATGGCAGTCTTTAATCTAAAACTCTACTCCCTATACTCCCGAGCTCAGCTGGTAGGGTGCCGGCCACATGTACTGGGGCTGGTGGGTTCGAACCCGGCCCGAGGCTGCTAACAAACAAAGAAATACCTTGCATTGTGGTGGGTGCCTGTAGTCCCAGCTACAAGTGAGGCTGAGGCAAGAGAATCGCTTAAGCCCAAGAGTTTGAGGTTGCTGTGACCTGTGACGCCACGGCACTCTACCGAGGGTGACATAGTGACACTCTGTCTCAAAAAAAATAAAACAAAAAATTCATACTCCCAGAAAAAGCCATCCTTCATGCCTAAGATTTAGCACTTTGCTCACTTGAGCATTCTGCTTGCCTAAGGACCCATTCATATGTCATATTATGATTAGGGCGTTCTCCCACCATCCCACCGCACTGTCACCAGAATCCTACACTCTCAGAAGCATATAAGCAAGCACACATCAGCAGCAGAATCTGCATATAGGATGGTGGTTATAGTTCTGGCTTTGAAAGTCACGGTCCTGCCTTCCTAGTCCTGTCCTTGGCACTTCCTAGTGTTGTGCCCTCTGAGCCTCAGTTTTTTCCTCCATAAAATGGGAATCATGTACAACACTTGCCTTATGCTTCAGGGTTCGTGAAAAGAGACAATGCTCCTAAAACTCTTAGGAGACTTAGGTGTCAGAATTATTATGAAGAGTTTACAACAAACGTTTGTTGATCGAGTGAAAGCACACATCACCCAAATTTTAAGCATCATCCAATTCTGGAAAAGTGTGATCGTGAAACTAGATACAGACAGTTTCCAGTGTGCGATTTCCACTTCAGGATGGGTTTATCCAGGTATCAAATGCATTTTTTACTATGGCATTTTTAACTTTGGATGGGATTATCTAGACTTGAGCCTATACAGAAAAGTATTATATTCTAAGGATGGTACTGTGTTGTTGTTGTTGTTAGAGATAGAGTCTCACTTTATTGCCCTTGGTAGAGAGCTGTCAAGTCACAGCTCATAGCAACCTCCAACTCCCGGGCTTAGGCGATTCTCCTGCCTCAGCCTCCCAAGTAGCTGGCACTACAAGTGCCCACCACAACACCTGGCAATTTTTTGTTGCAGTCTGGCTGGGGTCGAGTTTGAACCCGCCACTCTAGGTATATGGGGCCGGCGCCCTACTCACTGAGCCACAGGCGCTGCCCAGGATAGTACAGTGTTAATGAGCCATGGGTGGAAGAGTTCTTAGTGGGTCTCAATTTATAGATGGGGAAACTGAGGCTAGGGAAAAGAAGCAATTGATTCAGTGTTGAGAGACACCAGGGGACAGAATTACTTCTTGGGGGGAGAAACCAGCCTTCAACTCCACGTGGCAGCTGGATTCAGCTTTCTAAAAAGTAGAGCTGACTCACTTTTCCTCTGCTTCACCCCTTCCACAGCACCCTAGTGGCCTCAGGAGGAACCTGGAGCCCCTTTGGTGGTGTTCCCAGCCTTCTTCTGCCACCTGGCCCTGCCTCCTACTCCAGGCACACAGGCAGCTGTGTTTGTACCCAGGTTCTGGGTTGCTGTCCCTCACCTACAGGCCTCAGCACAGGCTGTGCCCTAAGCCTGGGGTCCCATGGATTCCAATGCACACCCTTCCCCACTGACTCTCTCACCACCTCCTCCTCCATCTCCTGTTCGCCCTCGGTGCCGCCTCCACTGCGCAGGAACAGTGCCTTCTGCTTTTCTGCCATCTCATAGGTGGGCTGCATCTCTGGGTCATCCCTCAGTGTGTCCAGTTTGGGGTGGAACCACTCCCTCTGCGTGGTGCGGTTCAGCGACTCCAGGATGGACAGGGGGTCTTCAGGCCGCTGGTTCAGGATCTTGGTCAGCAGGTTCACCAGGTGTTCATACCTGCCTCCCGGGGAGGGAGTGGGAGGTAGGGGACATCACTCACTCAGCTCATAGAGAACGCTGCTGGGGGCCTGGCCCTGTGCTTGCTGCTGGAGACATAGTAGGAAACAGAAAAGGCTCCTTCTCTGGGGGAGCTAACGTTTTGATTATGGAGACTGGTATCAATCAAACATGCACAATAAATAATGTGTTGGGAGACAAAGCAGGGCATGGGGACCGAGAGTGTCAGGTATGGGAGAAAGTGTGTAATTTTAAACAAGGGGGCCAGGGGAGGCCTAACTATGGTGACATTTAAGACAAGCTCTGAATCAAGTGAAGGGGCACACCATGCAGACTCTGGGGGTAAGAATTCCCCAGTGGGAAGAGCAGGTGCATAGTCCTTAGACTTTTTATGAGTCTAACACGACCTCAATACCAAAACCCAAGGACACTAGGAGAAAGAAAAATTCCATGCCAATCTCATTTATGAATATGGATTCTGGGCAGCACCTGTGGCTCAGTGGGTAGGGTGCTGGCCCCATATACCGAGGCTGGCAGGTTCAAACCCAGCCCCGGCCAAACTGCAACAAAAAAAAATAGCTGGGCATTGTGGTGGGCATTTGTAGTCCCAGCTACTCGGGAGGCTGAGGCAAGAGAATCACCTAAGCCTAGGAGTTGGAGGTTGCTGTGAGCTGTGATGACACAGTACTCTACCAAGGGTGACATAGCGAGACTCTGTCTCTGAAAAAAAAAAAAGAATATGGATTCTGAAATCCTATGCAAAATATTAGCAAGTGGCACCCAGAAATTTCGAAAAAGGATGACAAATTATGATTAATTTGGGCTAACATAATAAAAGGAATGCAAGACTGGATTGACATTAGAATAATATAAGTCATCAGGTTTAACATGTTAATTTATTTTTTTTTTTTTGAGACAGAGTCTCACTATGTTGCCCTTGGTAGAGTGCTGTGGCATCACAGCTCACAGCAACCTCAAACTTGGGCCTAAGCGATTCTCTTGCCTCAGTGTCCCAAGTAGCTGGGACCACAGGTACCCGCCACAACACCTGGCTATTTTTATTGTTGTTGTTGTTGTTGCAGTTGTCATTGTGGTTTATCAGGACTGGGTGGGGTTCAAACCCGCCAGCCTTAGTGTATGTGGTTGGCACTCTAACAACGGAGCTATGGGTGCCAAGCCTAATTTTTTTTTTTTTGAGACAGCATCTCACTCTTGTCACCCTAGGTACAGTGCTGGGGCATCATGCTCACAGCAACTTCAATTTCTGGGCTCAAGTGATCCCCTGCCTCAGTCTCCCTAATAGCTGGGACTACTGGTGCCCGCCACAAGGCTTGGTTAATTTTTCTATTTTTTTTTTTTTTTTTTG